TCAAGGATAGGCTCTACCACAAAAGCATCAGCAGCGAACTGACTAATGAGTGCAGGTCTTTCTTTGAAGAAGTTGGTCCTCAATTTGCAACTGTTTCAGAAATGTTAAATTCATATTCATCTTTAAAAATAAATGCACTTTTGATAAGCCTGTAAAGAAACGAATACTTCGTTTTAATCTATACCAATAATAAAAATTATTTTACTTTTAAGTGAGTCTTAATTTGATCCAGTTTGGCCTATCAAAATGTGAGGGAGAAATGGAATGCATGTAGGATATTGGTGGAAAACCAGAAGGAAAGAAACTACTAGGAAGACCAAGACTTAGATGGGTGGACAATATTAAAATGGATCTTAGAGAGATAGGATGGTATGGTATGGACTGGATCGATCTGACTCAGGATAGGGACAAGTAGATGGCTCTTGTGAATACGTGAATGAACCTTCGGGCTCCATAAAATGCTGGGAAGTTCTTCAGTCGCTGCACAAATAGCGACTTCTCAAGACGAGCTCAGCTCCATGAGTGAGTGGGTCTATTAAAATATTCTTACAAAATCTCATATTTTCATTATTTCCTACGATGTATCCTTTGAGAACCGTTAAATTTATCTCTGCTTCCCGCACCTGACCCAGCGCCAGTACATGCTACTGTGGTTAGGAGCTACACGAATTTCAGGAAGTGGGGATACATGTAATTGTTTTGCAGTATTATCCTAGGCAGAGCGACTGTAGGCTCTTTCCTTTAAATAAGTGCAAGAGTTCTGACAAATAACAAGACTGCACTCACATTTCCGGCCTCTGGCTCTATGTGAATTCCAGCTTTGTTTCCCACTGTCGAAACAGTTCCAGGTGCCTTCTCTTTAGAATAGTTGTCGTGGTAACCTTATGAATCCCTTCCCCTTTCCAGAGTGTGGTCCCTTTAGACGACATTTAATCATTCTGAAGAGAAAGAAGTTACACGGATTAAGTGAGCGAGTCGTTGGTTCTTGTGAAATTAGGTAGAGCATTTCCACCCCACGAGATGCAATTGTTATAACAACATGAGAGATTTTTCTACGTAGAATCTAGTAGTGACACTGCCACGTATCCTGGTAACGCGACAAGTAATTAATGGGTTTCGGATTAGATGAATCGATTTATTGGCTATTCACCAGGCGGAACTACAATTAGTTGTAACACAATCTTACTGTAGCTATAACAGTTCGTAACTGCAGACAATGATAACACTCTAAACGTTACTGTAACTACACCACATAAAACAGAGACTTCATTTCTGACTTCTTTTGTCTTCTATGGTATTTTTTCTTCTGGATTCTGATCTTCAGTAATCTCTAATAATCTTCTAGTAATCTTCTTGAGGTACCTCTTGGCGTACCGAATACAGAATTACCTGTCGAACAGTTGATTTTTATGTTGTCATGAAAACGTCCTTTCCGGTCCTGTGAGAACGTTGTTTAC